ACTACACTACACTATACACTACACTACACTACACTATACACTACACTACACTACACTACACTATACACTACTCTACACTACACTACACTGTACACTACACTACACTATACACTACACTACACTACACACTACACTACACTACACTACACACTACACTACACTACACACTACACTACACTACACTACACTACACTGAGGGAACAAGAAGGAAGGCCCGGGTCTGACCTGCTCGGGTTAGTCAGCTGACTGTTCATGAAGCCCTTTGCCCAGGTGTTGTTCTGGGAAGACCAAGAAGGGCCTGGCTTGTTACATCCTATGAGAGTCGTGGCTTCTGACTCTCGAGATTGATGCTGCTGAGTAGTCAGGCCATTTCCAGGTGATGCCCAGTGCTGTGAGTGCCGGCCCAGTCCTCAGCAGAGTAAATGGCTCTGCTAGCATAGAGAGGAGAATACACAGTAATCTTGCCCACAGGCTGTCTGTATCTTGGCTCTGAGACCAGCAGAGCAGAGGGCCTGTTCTGTCTGCGGGGGCGTGTTGTAGAGGGGCAGTTCCAGCCTGTTCATTTAGAGGCTTGTTTTCAGGAAGCTTGGGACACAAAAGCTGGGCATCCCTTGAGTTGCTTGCTGGCATTTTTATACCTAGGAGGGAGAGGAAGATTAGCTTTGGGGCTTTAGGAATGGGCCCTCTTCAGTGTGGTCATTTTTTTTTCCTGTTGTGCTGTTTTCTGCCCCTGCTGACTACTGCATGTATTAATCCTTTTTTTTAAGAGAGAGAGAGAAATGTAATTCGGGGATTTGGAAATGGAAGTGCTGAGTTGAGCAGTATAAATGTAGCAGAGAGACAAGCCCATTGGTGTGGCTGCTCCCTTCTGTGGCGTGTCTGTCCTGACTAACGTGTTCTAAATCTGTAGTAACCATCTTTTAAAGAAATGTCTTCGGAAACATTTTGCTTGATCAGGCCTCTGTCTATTTCGTTGTCGTCATGGTTAGGACATCGAGGATTTATGCTTACTACACAGTAAATTCTTTTGTGTCTTCTATTTCCCTATTTGGTTAGCCAGTTAATTAAACTCCAATATAATTACATAATTCACTGTGCTCATTCCATAAAATAATTTAGCACCTTGCTTTTCAGAACTGTCAGAAAGCAGAAGCAAAGAAAAAGTAATACGATAAAAACGGAGCCACTAAAGGACAATCCATGAATCACACATCTGCTCGAAGAAGAAAGAAGAGGAGGGAGCAGGCCCATCAATATCCCTGCTCTTAAATGTCCAGTGACTTGAGAATAAGGAAGATTTATAGTCCAACCTTTCATGCCATTTTCTCCAAGTGCCACAGTGGACTTAAATCCAGCTGCTTTCAAAGACGTGTACCTTCCTGAGCTCAGGAATAGGCAGGTGGCATTTGTGGGCTTCGAGCCCCTTCAGCAGCCTCTGCAGACCTGGGAGCTTTCTACCCTCAGCAGGTTCCCTGGTCCTGGCTCCATGCTTTTTCCACTCTTTAAATCCCACCAGTCTTTGTTTTGGCTTTTTTTTTTTTCTGAAAAATGGGCATACAGCATATGTTTACATATAATACCAGATATTAATGCAAATGAAAATTCATAGTTTTCCTTATGTTGTAGAGAGCCGCGTGATGCCACGCCTTACAGGTGGTGCTGATTCCCACCTTCCACCTTTCCAACGGTGAATGCTCTCAGATGTGTAACAACTCCATATATGGCTAACGCTAAGATCTGGCTTGCTTCCGCGGTTCTGGACCTATCTGCGTTTCCCACGTGGCTTGCTGGGGTTGGCTACCCAGAGGTTATTTAAGCTGCGGGCTGAAGAGGTTGAGAAGGAGCGAGAGGTTGCGAGAGGTAGCGAAAGGATGAGAAGATTATTTTAAGGGCCTGAATAAACCGCAGTTAAGAAGAGTCCGGTGTTGCGTCTTCATTGCTGATAAGACGGACGCGACATTATGTCAGGCTTTTGTTTTTATTTAGATATGAAACTATTTTTGTAAAATGACCAAGCAAGACATTAAGCACATCCAGCCCATGGCCCACGTGTGTCCCAGGATAGCTATGAATCTGGCCCAACACAGAATCATAAACACATTTAAATATTATAAGACTTTGTGTGACTTTTTTATCATCACACAGTCCTTGACTGGGAACTTTGTAGATGATGTCATGCTGTAATGTCAAAAGGTTGGACATGCCCAGACTCAACAAACATATGATACATAATTATTTAAAGATTAGATCAGAATATGATGGGGTAAATTATTGTTAAAGTCCTTTAAAGATAAAAAGATTGTAATTGTTGTTTTATTATTAAATCTTTATTTTTCAGTACTTTCCCAGTTATCTTTATTATTAGTATTTGCATTTACCAATTGATGTGTTGTATGTGTGCCCATGTGTACCGTGTGTGCCGCAGCGCTCATGTGTGAGTCAGGATAACTTGTGAGAGCCTGTACTCTCCACCGTGTGGATCCTAGGGATTGACCTGACATCATCAGGTGTGGTGACACATGCCTTTGCCCGTCTCAGCAGCTGCAGTGTCTCATGGTGTGGGTCGCTCAGGTGATGGACAGATGCTTAGGACTGTGACCGCCCTGTCATTTCAGTGTCCTCACCCGCACTATAGTTTATCTCTGTGAGAGCAGTTGGTCCAGAAGGCAGGACAGTGACGAACCCCTCATGCCCACTGAGGAGCACTTCCTGACTATGCGGCCTTGATCAGATCCCCCTCTAGAAGTCTCTGTGTCTTCAGTGTGACACTGGGAGCATCTCATACATGTCTCATTTGGTTTGTGACCAAGACACATATGCCCAGCTCTCGATTTTCGGTCGTGAGCAAACTGTGACCACAGAGGCCGGATGGTTGTCTTTTGGCCCAGGTGCCTAGCTAGCACTGAAGAGCGTGGTTCTGTCTCCTAGAACAAGCAATTCATTGCTCCGTTTCTCTGCTAGGTACCTGGCTGTTTCTATTTAAGACTGATTGGTTGTAAATGGATTAATTTGCATAATGACTTTTCTCTTGTTTCCAAACAGCTGCTCTGGAGCTCTTAGTGAACGCTCGTGGCTTGGTGTTAGCTGGAACCCTGAGTACTGTACCCACTCCCTGTATTCAGGACTGGTGGATGTGTCTGTGAGATGTTTAATCCGGGGGCACATCAAAGGGATAGTGTGTAGTGATTTAACAAATGAAGCCTACCTGAAGGTCAGAGTGCAGAGCTAGCCGTAGAGGCCAGGCAGTGGGGCCACACACCTTTAATCCCAGGAGACAGAGGCAGAGGGATCTCTGTTAGTTCAAGGCTACCCTGGACTGCGCAGGATTGAATCTGTCTAAAAGAGAGCTCACACAAAGGTGGTCCCAGCACTTGGAATCACATGCCTTTAATCCCAGCACTAGGGAAGTAGAGACAGGAGTGATGGGGCTGGGTGGAGAACATAAGGCAGGACAAGTCTGAGGTTTGGTGGAAACAGATGCAGTCTGAAGAAAGGATCTCCCCTTCCGTCTGAGCACTGGTAGAGGTAAAAGAACTTTAGTGGGTGCCGCTCTGCTTCTTTGATCTCCAGCATTAACCCGTATATCTGACTCGGAGTTTTTATTATTAATACCAATTAGTATTCGTGCTGCATAGTGGTAAACATCGGATGACGTCAAAAGACAAGTCGGCGGTTCAGTGGTTGAAAGTGCTTGGTAGGCAAGCCTTCTGATCTGAGTTCCATCCCTGGAACCCATGGAAAAGCCGGATGTATAACCCAGTACTCCTATAGCAACATGGGAGGCAGAGCCAGATGAATGGCTAGAATGAAGCTAGCTCTGGGTGAGCTAGCTTATGGTACCAGTGCAGTAGCAGAAATAAGAGAGACACTGATTCAAACCACAGTGGAGGGAGAGAACTGACTTCCACACATATCTGTAGTATACGTTCCCCACATGCATGTACACATACATAAAAAAAAAAGATTTGTTTGTTTTAGGTTAGTTAAGCTCTGAGACTTAATAAACTTCAAGGAACTTTTCACTGAGCCCTTGCGTTTTGTATTCTCTTGTGTTTAGTTTCCTTTGGTGAAACCCAGGCTCATGTGTACCCTCGTGTGTTTTTTTTTTTACGTGTGTGTATGTGTGTGTGTGTGCGCGCGCGCGTGCACGCGTGCACATGTGTGCGCGTATGTTTGCTGGGGAAGTGTTGTGGTCTTGGGCTTCACACCCTCACCCCTCCCCACCCCTCCGTTCCATTCTGTCATGTGTTACGCAGATGGCTGTGATGATGGGAGGGACGCAGCTGAGACGTGACCTGGAGATTGCTGAGTTCATCTCTCTGTTTCCATTCTGGGGAGGGACATTGCCAGACTTTATTCTGTCTACCACACCGTGGTCAAATCTATGGAATTCTCCAAAACTCAGCCACACTTGAGGGATCACTGAAGAGTTGGATCTTGATGGCCAGTGGTCATTTTCATCTCCATATTTCTTAATTTTAAGATAAAAGAAGTTATAAATTACATCATTCAACTAGGGGCTATGGAATATACCTCCAATCTGGCTGCCCTAGAGGCTGAAGAAGGAGGACCACTGGAACCTGTGTTTAGCCCTAGCCTATTCAACACCAAGAATTCAGTACTGATTTTATTATAGATTTCCCTGGGGGAAAGAAACAGGGCTTCATTAATTGCACCTACTAGTTTTTAGCTTTTCTGATTTTGGAAATATTGAAATGTAGAAAAATTACATCTGAGAATTAAGGAACCTGAGCCTTCGTGGTAATAGTCAGGAGCAATGCACCTTTTAAAGCTCTGTGGCATGGTGATACAGGCCTATAGTCCCAGCTGTCTAAGACGGTAGGATCAGAAGTTCAAGAACGACTTGGGCAACCTAGCCAGACCCTGCCTCAAGGTAAAAGCAATAAAATAAGGGGCAGGGATATGGCTTGGTTAGGGGTAGAGTGTTTGCCTGGCATGAGTGATGCCTGGGTTTAACCCCCAGAACTGCAAAACTGAAAACAAGCTTCCAAAAGTTGCTTTCAGGGCTGGCATGACTTCAGTACTTAAGAGCACCCCTGATGTTTGTCCAGTCGACCTGAGTTTGGTTCCCAGCGCCGCATCAGGCAGTCACAACTGCCTATAAGGCCAGATCCAGGGGAGCCAACATTCTCCTCTGGCTCCTGCAAACAGCCCTGCACACACACACACATGGACACACACATACATGGACACGGACACATGGACACACACATACAATTTTTTAAAAGTTACTTTCTTGGAAAATTAAAAAAATGGTTTAATAAATCTGTTCTTATAATCAGTGAATGCTAATTTTAGGGGCATAACTGGTGTCCTCAGAATAAACTAATCAGAAAATGTCATATGTATCTCTGGGAAGTAGGCTGTGAATTGAGAATGGGGTCAGTTATCACTAGAAATTTGAATATCTGAACATTAAAGCACATGCTTGAGACAGCAGTAGAGGATCTCTAAGCTTTTAAAGGGGAATTTTAAATGAGTAGTTGTCGGGGTCCAGACCAGACATAAACCATTTCTCGAACCAGAGTGGAGGCATGGAAATAATTGAGGCACAGTTCATTCAGCAATATCAGAAGGGAGTCTCAGGGTTCATTCAAATCCTGAAGATCACCTGCATTTATTACCCAAACAGCTTTTATATCAAGAGGTAAACTGAGGGGGAAGCTCATTAGCATTTTGTTTCCTGGGTAGCGGAGGAGAATGACTTAGGTCACATCTGCAACTGTGACTGCTCAGTCACATAGACTGAATTAACACCTCTTGGTGTCAGGTTGTCTCAAAACCACTATCAAAGGCTAAGCAACCACCTGCTGTGTGGAAGGTGCAAATTGTGCCTTGCTAGGTCACCCAGAATTCTGACTGCCATACAATTAGGAATATCCAGCTCCCACAACTAATAATGTAATTTGCTTTCTATTGCTATGATAAAGACCATGGCCAAAAGCAACTTGGGGAGCAAAGGGTTTGTATGTTTCTGGTCACAGTTCGTCATGGAGAAACTTAATCAGGACAGGAACTTGAAGGCAGGAACTGAAACAGAGGCCACAGAGGAACACTGCTTGCTCCCCATGGCTAGCTAGCTCAGTTTGCTTTCTTAGAAAACCCAGGATAGCCTGCAAAGAGGTGGCTCCATCCACAATAGGCTGGGCTTTCATATATTAATCATTAGCCAAGAAAATGCTCCACCTCTGTACAAGCCAATCTTATGGAGGCATTTTCTCAACTAAGCTTAACCTCTTCCAAAGTGACCCTAGCTTATGGCCCGTAACCAGCACAATAATTACAGGCAAATTTCATTTTACTTATATTACAAAATATCTGGTGCTGGGTTGGTGATGTGGGACTCCCCTCTGCATGCTGTGAATATGTTTTGTTGCCATTGGTTAATAAAGAAGGTGTTTTGGCTGGTGGTTTAGCAGAATAGAGCTAGGCTGGAAAACTAAACTGAATGCTGGGTTAAAGTAGGCAGAGGCAGTGAGAAGCCATGTAGCCACCAGAGAGGAAAGACGTGAGCTGCCCGTCGGAACTTTGCCAGTAGGCCACTACCTTGTGATTGATGCACAAATTAATAGAGATGAGTTAATTTAAGATGTAAGGGCTAGCTAGCATAAGCTGATAGGCCAAGAAGTGTTGTAATAATACAGTTTTTGTGTGGTTATTTTGGGTCTAGGCGGCCTGGAAATGAACAAGCAGCCTCCGACAACAGGTTGGCAAGATGGCTTAGCAGGTAACCATGCTGCCAAGCCACGTTTGATAGGTGTAGCCCAGATGGTAGAAGAGAACCAACTCCTTCCAGTTGTTCTCTGAAAGCTGGAAGCTAAATGGCCAACAGGAAGACAGGAGGTATAGGTAGGACTTCTAGACACAGAGAGCTCTGGGAAGAAGAAATGGGGTGTCGCCAGTTAGATGTTGAGGAATCAGGATGGGCAGTACAGAGTAAAGGTAACTGAACCACTTAAAAGAATGTAGATTAAAAGATGTGGGTTGATTTAAGTTATATGAGTTAATGGAAAAGGCCTAAGTCAAGACCAAGGTTTCATAATTAATAAGAAGTCTCTGTCTCATGATTTGGGGGCTTGGTGGTTATTGAAATCCAGAGTCATTTTGCAGGCCCTGACCAACCAGACTGCAGGTTTCCCTGCATGAATCTAATATTTACACTACTTACTCTGCGGTGTGCCCACTCCCGCCTTTCCTGCTTGAATTGTCTTATGGGATTGTGAGGTACCCTGAAATGCCTCTCTGAATCCCTCAGCATTCTGCACCAAAACAGACGTACTTAGGTGTAGTTTAGAATCTATTTACAGATTTTATTTCTC